TACTTACTATTCTGAAATGCTTCTATTAGGTAATGAGAAAAATTTTGTCCGTTTTTCCATTTCTCCTTTTAATTTATTGTGCAAATAAACAAATGAATGATGATTCTAGTGATATCTCTTTAATCTGTTTGTCTTCAAAATTTCATAAATAATTTAGGATATGCTTGTGATTTGTAAACATAAGTTTCTTTGCTACTACAAAAGATAGACTTATTTGTTGTTATAAGATGTATGCAACCGAAATTATAATGATTTAGAATTTATTATTGCAAATTATAGTTTTTTTTTTTTTTTTGCACTAATTCATTAATTCATTGCTTATTTATGTTTCACATTTTTTTTTCTTCGCCTTCGTTTTTTCTTTTTTTTTTTCACTTTGATATGATTGTTAATTGTTGTACAGAATTTGGCAACGAAATTATGCAGTTTTGCTCATTTGAATGCCAATTATTACGATGATGACACCAAATCAGACTAATTTTACTTTGAAAGAGGACGAAAAATATGAGGTAATGCTAATCCTATTGTTTGTAAAAAATGTATTGTAAAAAATGACTGGTAAGTTTTGATGATAAGTATGGAATATACTTTATTTATTTATTTGTATATATATATCAGTGGATATTTATGTCTAAATATGTACTTATCCCTCTAAAAAATATTGAATCTGTTTGTATTTCGTATAAGTATTTAGTTTAGTCATTGATAATTTTTTTTAATCTTAACTAAAGTATTATAACATGTTACTAATATTATTATTGATACGAATTTTTTTCCCATTAATTTCTTGTAAAATTTTTAAAATCATTTTATTGCTAAATATAACCTTTCTTTTCAGTATAGTCGCAATCTATTCACAATTTCTCATATATCGTTTTCCTTAGTAGCGATAGTTTTGTTAAGCAGCCGTGGCTGTATTGGACTAGAAAATTATCGGTGACTAAACTAAAATCTGAATGTCCAGAAATGATGTTAACAACGTTTACTAGAACTGTTTTATATTAATTCACTCCTACTAACATATTAATTCATTCCTACTAACAAGTTTTATATCATCTAAGTTAATTACTTTAAGCGTATTAGCCAATTTACTGGAAAACATAATCTACATATTAATGAATTTATATGAAAGTTTAACGACAAACACAGTACTTTTTTTTTTTTTTTTTTTTTCAGCTCACAACATTACGAACGACAACTATAACGAATAATGATAGAAATTTTCTCGTACCTTTGAAACCAGGTGTACAAAACATGCCAAAACTTAGTTACTCTGAAGATGTTGGAACAAAAAATGGTGGCATTCATTTCACCAATATAATGGCTGATTCACTGGAATATCTGAAAAAAATGCTTGGTTTAACACCGGATTGCCTTAATGGAGGCATGAAGACATTAAGGGGTAAGAGTCAGTCTTACATTATAGAAAATAATTATGGTAATAAAAATTTTTTAAGAAATTTATGATAGCAAAAGTTTCTTCTGATGGTTATTTTTACGATTTTTCCTTATTTAAAAGTCCATAAGAAAATTATGGATTGAGCGTTACTGGATGGAATATAATTCTTAAGTTATACATCAGTCAAATAGCAGTTGGATAGAATTAAATTGACTACTAGATAATAATATTTGCCAAGATTGAGTGTTTTTAACTAGCAAACCTCAAGTTTCTAAAATTTCGATTAAGTTCTTTGAGTAGTTATATTTCATTGTATTGATTTATTTTTTAGGCGAGTGTATTTGTCCCAAATTCTACAGAGGTCATTTATGCGAAGAATTAGTTTGCGTCAATAATGGTACTTTAGTAAAAATACCTAAGCTTTTTCCAACGCAGTATACATGCAGGTTTGTAACTGTTTGTTACTAGGAGGAACGATGTAATTAGGATATTTCGAATGAAGTGTTTAACATGTGAAATTTGTGTAGACGAATAATTTATTGATTTAGTAACAGGATGAATAGCAGAATGAAGATGTAAAGATCAAAATAATAGTTAGAATCGAATTTTAAATACAGAGTTACAAAATACTTATCTCGGGGAGGTATTTGCCCGAAAAAACAATAAATTTTCAGATGTCCCTATCCAGAATATATACATGGTCAGCACTGTGAACATGTTAAATGCTTAAATGGTGGTCGTCCGATGGATAACGGACACTGTAAATGCTTGGATTATTGGTATACAGGACAATTTTGTCAGGTTACTTTTGCTAGATCTTTTTTTTTTTGAAATGAATTAGCGTTTGAACTTTTTTTTTCTCCCATGTTCTGCTTTGCACGAAATTTTCGTGCCATATTTCTTGTTATTAGGTCAGTAAAAAAATGATAAATATTTCCACCATTAAAAAATTACTAAAATATTTTTAATATAATTTTTATTTCAGGAATATGCGGCATCATGGGGTGTTGTGCTTGGTCTGCCTTTATTATGCATTGTAATTATGATTATCTGTTGTGTTGTTTGTCGTCTGGATTTGTTCCCAAGAAAACCTACTCATTCACGAAGTTATTTTTTAGGTTTTCTAAAATTTAGTAGTTAAGGTTGGAATATTTGAAGTGATTAATATTGCCGATTACCAAAGTTTACTATAGAATTTCTAAATTAGTTGCGAAGTAAACTTTGAAATGAAGTCAACGAACTTCGTTCCGTACGTTACAGAGAATTCTATTTATATAGGGCGTCGAAGAACACCACTAAGTACAATTTGTGATGAGGGTACTACTAGTCATCGACGTCGTGGACTGGAGTTGAACAGAAGCAGTAATAGGACAGGGAATGAAATTTATCTACGAATGCAGGTACAATTTTGCAGAACATGAATAAATTATAATATAAAATTTGAATGCATAATTTTACGTCTAATATTTCCGTTTTTTGGCTTAAAAAATCCTTTATCAGCATTATCCGGTTGATTCGCAGTACACTTAATAATATTAATTTAAGTGGTCTGTTTGTTGAACTATTTATCAAAACATAATGGATTTCTATTATTCATTCATATTTTAGGAGAATTTACTAAATGATAATGGTGGTGAATCTTTGGCAGCAAGGCCGCACAATTATTTTTTGTCATCATATATTGTTCATCTTAATTCAGTGCCGGTTATGGATCCTAATTTAACAACTGATGCAAATTCGTCCAAGCCTTTCGATCCACCACCCTCTTATGAAGAGGTATGTTACCTGTTTACAAAACAAAATTATATTTTGTTACTTTTGCTGTTTTTTATACCGAAGTTTAAAACTTGTAATAATAAGAATTGTGTAAATATCTGAGCGTTTATTAAAGAGAGTTCCATTTTAAAAAGTATACTAATCTTTTTTGGAAACACATACCATTTTTTTCCCTAGTTGCTTCAGTTTTTTTTTTTAAAAATAAAGTCCTTCGTATGTTTCTATTGTGTTATTTTTCCGTCTTGAAATTGTATCTTTTATGCATCTGATGTCAATTAGTTTAGATAATTCATAGTCTATTTCAGGCAGTTGCAACATTTTCAACATTACAGCAACCTCCTAGCGTAGGTGACGCAGCAGTTCTTCCACCTCAATATTCGTCTTATCCGAACCAAATGCTACCACGTTCCCAGTTTTCTAATGCTTTTCGAAATAGATAGAATCATCAGCATTTATCGCTTCTTTAGTGTGAATGTAGCCTTTCTCATGTGTGATAACATTTTATTTTTATGTGTAATTATGTGTGAAATGTCGATCATAATGTATTTTTAAAAATTGACAATTTTTTGCCTTTTTTCTATAAATTCTACTCGTTCGTTTATTTATTTATTTATTTTTCTTTTGTTTACACTAATTGCTATGATCTAAAGGGGGAATGGCAAATACGATATCTCTACAGGATAACTTTTTTTTTATTGATTTTAATTTGTATATCTTTGATTTATTACAGAATTGACTAACCATTTTGAAATTGTTGCTTCTGTCATAAATGTAAATAATATTTTATGAAGGATATTTGAAACAGTCGACGTTTTCATAACTCTAAATTCGTTAATTCTTTTTTTTTTTTCATGTTATCCAGTTTTGCTTCATGTAGAATAGCTTACTTTAGCCATCCTTTGTTACCATTCTTGTGTTTGTTTCCAGGAAATAATACAATACAAAAATTCTTATTTTGCTAACTTGTATAAAATTTCGTGAATTTCACTTTTATTTTGAATAGTATAGCATTATTTAGCTAATTTTATTTGATTTTACTATCAAGAAATGAACTAGATATTTTTAACATGGAAAAGATTTTTCTTAATCATTGTTTTTCTCTGATTCATTTCTTCCTTTCTTCCTCAAATCTTATCAGATTTAGATTGTTTAAATGAATTGCTTAATTGATCAGATAAAACGTTTACACTGAAAAATTTGATCAAATAGATTTTTTTTTTTCTTTAAATGATTTTAATTCATCCAACATATACATAATATATTCATTGCAATGGAATATATATTTATCAGGCTAAGATTGTGGTAAAAAAAAATGATGAATAATTATTTTTAGAGATTTAAAGAATTTTAAAGACTTTTGCATCCATTAGCTATAATACAATGATAGATAGTTTCATCTGTGGATCTGTCATCATTTGTGGGCAGTGTAATGTCAGAATTATTTCTTAAATATGCATGAGCATTACTTTAAACTGTGCTTCTTAAGTTTCTAGTCATAGTATAATATGTGAAGTATTCATTTAATATTAGTAGTTAATTTCAAGTTTTCATATAATCTCAAGTTTTGTCGCGAAACATTCAAAATATTTTTTGTTGTGCTTTGAATTTTCTTGTTTGTAAGTTAAAAAAAGTTGATGTTAATTTTTAAATCTTGAATTCTTTCGATTAATGTTACCATTATTTTAGTATTAGAATGAAGCTTTCAAAAAAAAAAAAAAGAACTTCTTAACTCATTCTATTTCTATTTAAGATTATATGAGGTTGCATATAATTATTGTTTAAGTAATTTTGTTGCTGCTGTCGATGGATTTATGATAAATTAGAAATGCCGTCATATGAAATTACTTTAATTACTCGATCATTGGCGAAGGTTAACTTTTCTTCTTTCATTTTGATACTAAAATTCTTTATTTTCATTATTTCAAAATTAGCTTCAAATTTGACAATAAATTGCATTTGTATTTTGATATTTTTATAGCCAGAATTATTTACTACAATACGTCGTGCTGCAAAAGTTTTACTTGATAATGGTGCTATTATTGAAAAATTGGAAAGTCTTGGACATCGTGATCTACCATTTAGGCGAGTGAGAAAGCAAACAACGGAACATATATATACATCAAAGTAAGTAATGTTATTATAAGTAAGATGAAAGTAATTATGATTGGAAAAATGTTTTAAATTTTCGTTTTGTATTTCAGCTACTTCTTAATTAAAGCATTCATGCCACGTGAAGTACGTGACACAACAAATACAATATTACGCAACGATCTCGACTTAGTCCACGTTTGTTACATGCACGAAAAGCCGAAAGAGCCAATTTATTGTAATCTAGCAGAACTTTTAAAACCTCCAGCAGAAAGGTAATCTAATTTGATTCCTTATCGAATTAAAAATTTAGATTCTGGCGATATCTTGCTATCTTCTTTGTAAAAAATAACACATTTATTTTACAAACAAAAGAATGAATATTAATTGTAAAAAAGATGATTAATGCGGTGTTAAATACTATTATATCAACATGTTTACATAAAAACGAATGAGAAAATAGTTTGAAAAACAATTAATAGTAGAAAAAAAAATGAAATTAACCCAATCAATTTTCTATTATATTCTTTTTTTCAGAGAATCGGTAAAAGCTCTGCGAGACAATCAAAAGTTAGGGCATTATACACGACAAATGATTTACAAGCGAACAGAAAAAGAATGGAAAGCTATTCCGAAATCTTATCCAATAGCAGAACCGGAAATTATTGGCAGACCTAAACCGCAAAAATATGAATAGCGTAAATAGATTTGAACAATGCATGAAAAAGATATACATTGTAAAATTAGTCTGTTGTTATTTCCTGATTTCCTTCAGCAGTCCAAATATCAGCAGTACTTTTTCCTTCAGACTTACTTGAAATGTATTCCGTTTTTTCCTGAATTTTATGTTATAATTTTTTGTAGTGTAACATTTCTTGTATTTTATATTTAGGTTTATTATTTCAAAAATCTAATAAAATATGATTAATTTTATTGATGTGAACAAGAATAATTTGCATGCTAGATGCTTTTAAAATTTCTAAACAAATTTAAATTTTGGACACCATCGTACTAGAGTGTCATTTAAAATCCGAACTGTAAAATATTAGAAAATAATTTAATTTAGCGATTATGAAAAATTTACCTTAGTTATTGTTTCATTGCTATTCTCCTCCATTCTTTTCATTATTTCCATTGCTTCATTTTGCATCCTCTCCAGTTTCTCGAGAGTTACAGATTTCAGTGGAATGAGTTTCGGTTTACAAAAAACTGGACTAAGTTCTTCCTCACAAAATAGAACAGCATTTCTAGCACTTAGCACTTCTTTTAGTTCATTGCTCATTGCTATTTAATTTCGTCTTGTTATTGTCCTTTAAGCCTTCTGAAATTTACCACATCTTACTGGAATTATTCTACTCCTAATCTTTTTTATTTTTTCTGTAAATCCCTAACTCTCATATATAACCTTTTTACAGAATATGTACAAAGTTTTGGGAAATAGTTATTGCATAATTTATTTGCTTAGAAAAAAGAAAAAACAGAAAAGAAAACGAAAGACTATCAGTTATAAGTATTGTAGAAATTTAACAAATCTCTCAAGCAAAACTAAAAAAAAAAAAATTATAACTTTTGCAGGCTTACACATTTGTCACATTATCGTTGCTATGGACAACAAATTCAACATCATTGCTTAACTGCTAAATTATGAATAAATCAATAAATTGATCAAAGATCCCATAAAATTATCACTTAGAAATAGATGGTTAATGGCAAGGGAAAAAACATAAATGAATTAAATTAGACAAAAATTCAACCTGATCAAATTATAAATTATATAAAACTATCATTTATTATCATAGTAGAAGCAAATTAAAAAAAAAAGTTCTCCTGGAATGATTTTTTTTTTCAATTTAATAATATTGATTGTAATTGTTATCACAAATAGTGCGATTTATCATGATAAAATGATATTTCTAATTCTACAAGAAAATAATTCAAAATCAATTTGTCGATTTTATCATTTCTAATCCTACAAGAAAATACTTAAAAACCTATTAAATGTATTAAAATTAATATTAAAGATTATTTAATCAAAATGATAGAATGATAACCATTTACAATAATATCAGTAATAGAATAATAGCAACAATTTTAATTCCAATTTTAGTATTATTATATGTTGTGGAAATTATTTTAATAATCACTAAATTGAATGATTTAAAATTCACAATCCAAATGATTAGAAAATTTTCAATCAATTATATTATAGTATTATTAACTTCAATCAGTCTTCCAGTTCATATAGTTATGGTTTTCATAAAAGTTATAATTATTTAATGGAAGTGATTATCGTTAAAATTTTCTAAAAATTTCAAAAGTTTACAATTTTACTAAAAATGTAAAATTATTTTATTCAAAAATACAATGCGTTAAAACTTATTTAAACTTCTTTTTATTACTTTTTCTTCTTGGTTTACATTAACATACTTATTAAAGAATGAATTAAATTTCAAGCTTTCAAACTTTCATTTTTTTTTTTTTTTTGTTTCTTTTTCATTTGAACATTTTTTTTATAAGATTTTGTTATAAAATTTGAACATACTATTAGTTTACATAAAGAAAAAAACAAAAAACAAAACAATATAAAGTTTAGTGAAAATTTTCTAACAATTATATCTAATAATTATGAACTGCTATCATTAAGATTTTAAATTTTTTTAAAAATTTATAATTACATTTAAATGGTGAACAAACATTTGATTTGAACAAATATTACAAATAATATTGATGGCTGCTATATTTAGTGGAATTTAAATTTTCTATCTTTTTTTTACAAATGTAACAATTTAATTTTCCAATTTAGGAATATCAATTATGTATCAATTACAAAATGTATCAATTACAGTTTTAAATTTGTATCAATTACAGTTTTTTGTATCAATTACAAAAAAATGTATCAATTACAGTTTTAAATTTAAATTCAAATACTGAAAAAGCTTCATCTACTATTTTATAGTTGCGATAGTACTTGGTGAAATTTGAGATAAGATGAAATTAGATATACTAATTTTAACAGTACACATATGTATCAATTATAAATTTCAAATATTCCGCAACCTTCAAATACTACTTTTGTAATCAATCACAATCCCAAACTTAAATTTAATATTTCTTCGCAAATTTCAAATATACTATTTCAATTGATTAAAATGTGTCTACTAAATATTATAACATCAATCTTATATACTGTTTAGGGTCAATTATTGAGATAGTTTTATGATTAATTGATAGCTTTTTTAACTTTTAATATGTTAATAAAGTGACTAAACTCTGTCTAATTTCATTCTTCAAAAATGTTTACATTTAATTCTGCTATAATTCAGAAATGACACATCATATCATATCTTTGTATTGTTCCATCAACTGAATTTATAACCAAAAAATAACTTTCATTTGAGAATGTCATAAAAGTTATAACATATGTAAGTGCATTTCTTCCTCCTTGATGCATGTAATGCTTTTTAGCACAGATTTAATTACAAAAGTCTCAATTTACGAATGAAAGTCAAAAATAATTTCCAACAAAATAAAGGAACAAAGATAAACAAATGAACAAAACGAGTTTTAAATTTAAATATCAAACAAAAATAAATTTATTAAAAAATATAACTTCATCAATTTCTTGAAATAATTCGATTCCTAAATTTTGAATTGTTTTACAATATATAAACATTAACAATTGAAAAAAAGTCAAATGTTGTGCTAAAAAAATTAGAATATCAAAGAAATATGCTAACAGTATTTGATAGTAAATCATACATTATGTGATACGATTTATGAATTTGAATAGAAAATTTCCACAAAAGTCCAACCCCATTTAATTCATATTTTTTGTGAAATAGAAATATTTAAAATATAGCCAGAAATAGTTAGCTTAGTGAAAGAAATACTTCTGCTGTATGAGACAATAAGAATTAAGAAAAACAATATAAACTAAAGCATTTGCAAACAATAAAAGATCAAAAATTTTACTAAACTTTAAAATTTGATTTTTTATTTTTAAAAGGAAAAAGAAACATTTTATAATACAGCATACATATACATATATATATTACAATCAAATCTAACTTTATGTCTATCGACTCATTACTTTTACAGGATATGAATTATTATTCATAAGAACAACCGGTGTAGATGATAATACATTTTATGACGTTTCATTATATTTAAATGTTTATAAAGATAGTAAATATAGCAGAAAGACAAAAACCTAATTTCAATCATTTATGGATGCATAGCTATTTCACATAAGTTAGTAATTTTTTAAAGATGTTGAAATATGAAACTCAGGTAAGATAAAAGACTTAAACAAGGGAAAGCCTAAGCATATATCATAAAATACTCCTGAAATCCTTAGCATCTTAAAAAGCTGAAACGCATAGTAACATCTAATTTTATTATCAATTCACCAAAACTACGTACCGATTTAAATTTGATCTGAACACCCAGCTTATTTGAAATTATCCACTTATATTTAAATTATATTCAAGTTTAAATGATTTGTCAATATATATATATATTTTGAAAAAAAAAGAGAAAAAAGAAAAACGTAGGAATATCTGTATACAGTTAACCCTTCATCTATGCAAATATAATTTAAAATTCACTAAAAATTTGAAGAATATAAAGAAAGCAAAATACACTACTTACTATACTTGTGAGTTTTTACGATATTATTCGATACCTAATTGTTATCAACTTCATCACTAACTTCATTTTCATTATAATTAACATTGCGTTGAACGGATCGTCTTAATCGAATCCGCGGATGGCTATCACCGTTTGCTCGTGTAGCTGTATGATTTCGATGTTCTTGCCGATTTCTTGTCACATATGTTCTTGCCACTGCTGAATTCTGCTCACTAACGGAGTACGGTGCAGAATTTGAGTCTTCTTTAAATTTTTTCAGTGTGGCTTGTCGACGTCGTTTCTTAGTAATTTCCACACTTTCCTGACTTCCACATGTTCGTTTTCGATAGCTGAAAATTTAATTTTAAATAAAGCAATAAAACTTTGACTACTGTTCAGTAGAATAGATTTATCTTCGAATTTATCACTTACATATTTGCATGAAATTAAAATGAAATTAAAAATTCCTAAAATTCATTAATTTACTCTTCTTCAACACAGAAAAAAAGAAAAAAAAAAAAAAAAACAGGGATGCACACTTTTTATTTTTTTTCGTATTATTTGTTCGCTTATTCCAACTACAATCGCTTAACTGATCATCATCCTCATCATCAACATCATCATCACCATCGTCATTACTATTATTATTTTTATTATCTATTTCAGCTGCATTTCTTGCATCGCATAAAATACGATCTTTTGCTGTATCTTCATCACTTTCATCTGTTACTGTCACTGCACCACTAAAATTACAATCCTGCTATCAGCAAAGATTATTTGAGTAACTGATATAAGTTGATGAAAACATTTTCATTATGCGCTGAATTACGAATGAAACAAAAAAGAAATAATCAGGACCATATACTACATAATAAATAGAATATCTTAAGAAAAAAAGAAATAATTATTGAGCAAAATATTAACAAGTTGTAACGTTTCTCTCTCTTTCTCGAGCTTCTTCTCAGATTTATCAGGCTATTTTTGTTTTGCAATCCCGATGGTCCTATAAAAAAAATACAACAAAATAAAGCATTTCCATGAATTAAGTCATTCAATCGGCATATTTTTTAATCATAAGAATGCATTTTACAATTCGCACATAAATGATATGTTCCATTTTTTGTTTATTCAGTGTTACGAAATAATAATTCTAATATTACAGTATTTTTTTATTCTAAATTTTAAAATGTATCTATGAATTAGGAAAATATTTCAAGAAAACATATAGTGGTAATAACTTTTCACGCATTTAATGAATATTTAATTAACTATTATTCATTTTTATGTTAATAGTTCGAAATGCTGGCTCCAGTATTTAAAAAGAAAACTGAAAATTTCAGCTCATTTCAACTTTCAAAAACTAACCTGGTTGATCTTCTGATTGTACAGTACTACTATTTGTCTGGTGATTCCTGTAAAATTGAATGATAAAATGTACAAAAATACTGGATAAGTTCCATAATAATGAAATAGAATTGAAAATAACAGTTATTTCTTTTTTTTTTTTCTTTGATAGTAGTACAACAGCTACCTTGTATGGTTACATTCGGTGGTATTTCTTCTCGCACGACCAGAATCCTGAAATAATTAGTTAATCAAAATGTTTATTTCCAAATGGAAAATGAAACCCACAAGTAGAAAGGTAAAAATGCAGTGACATAAGTCGAACATCATTATACTTTTAAAAACATTGCACCATGCTTTAAATTAAGTTTCGAAGCACAGCCTTTTTCCCATATTCACAATCACACCATCCGAAATAATAAAGCTGCCAAAATTCTGCCGCTACTACTTTATTAGAAGCAGAAAAAAAAAAAGTCTAACCTGATTATTAGACCAACCGAAAGATTCCAAATTTGCAGGACCTAAAAAAAAAAAAAGTTAACACGGAGTTTGCATTACATATTAGAAAATAAAAAAGTACGCAAAAAATTACAAATGTAAATAATAACCTTGATCATGTGTCATATATATTCCATTATTTAAATTTCGATAATACCCGCTTGGCATTCTTCCAGACCGCGCAGAACGATAAGATGTGGTTGCATTTGTTGGCACTCCATTTTTTTCATCTCCGTGTTGTTTTTCTTCATGACGGCTGAAATTCATGTCATTTTTTTTTTTTCGCGAAATCGAAGTAAAATTCAAAATTAAGAATATGAAAAAGTATTTAAAATTTAATGAATTATTTTCGAATTCTTCGAATGTAGTTTTTTTTTTTTTTTTTTATAAACAATATGCTCTTAAAAGATAAGACATTCTAAAAGAGTTTAATATAATGTTGAATATGATGGTGTATGGTGTACCTTCTTGTATTATAGATATGTGAATTCCTTGGCCGATTTCGTAAATGGTGACCTTCATTGTCATTTGTAGCTAATGGTATTTCTGACTGTCTCATACGTTGCCATTTTGCTACAACAGGTGCCATTTTGCTGTCAAATGATGCAGCACATGCTAAGCTATCACGAAAAACCTGAAGTAAACAAACTTGGACTGCTTAAGAACTGCGAGCAATTAATTGACCGCGGAATAAGTGATAACGTTGTGCTTAATTATACAATCATACCTTAGTAATATAATAAAAATAAGATTAAAACACACACATAAAAAAAAAAAAAAAACTAGAATAGAAAATAGTATGACAACGTAAAAAAAAATACCTGTCAGGAATAATTACTAATAATATTTCGAGTTGGAAATACTTCAACTGAAAAAATGAAATATGGCTAACAAAAAATTCTTACCGGTGACCGTTTATTATCAACAGCATTTCTACATGCTTGCATCAAAGTTTTCACTGCATTAACAACTTCCAATGGACTGTTATACGTTCGTGTGATAACTTTTTGCTTCACAGTTAACAAGTCATCATATGATGAAAACACATCCGCAAGCCACTGAACTAAGAAATTTCGTTGAAAAAAAGTGAAAAAAAAAAAAAAAAAACGATGGCTACTTCCAACATATCATTTGATAATTAAAGTTTCTTGGAACTGGTTTAATTACTGTCTTTGCAAAGCTTCACTTATTATTTTTAATTAGAAAGAATTTTGCAATACACTATATTTTCCTCACTAAATTCCTTATAATTTAGTGAATTCATTTAACAAAAATATGATCGTAAAAATTATAAAATTTTGTTCATTTCATTAATCAATTAGAGTGCACCAAGTATTGGATAAATTAAAACTAAGAGATCAAAATCACTTTGTTTCGCTCGAAAAACAATCTACAGATATCATCAAGATCACTAGATCAGAAAAGAGAGCAAAAAGAATAAGCTTTATCAACTATTATCCGTGTGAAAATTCCTATGCACCGTAGTGCAGATAATAATTACAATCTAATGGATACCGAACGATCGTGATAAACCAACTTAATTTTTGTGTATTTTGTGAAGCACATGAAACTAACCTCACCACCAGAACTGATAAAATGAGTTGAAGTTCGTTCCGACATCACTTCTTGTAGCACATCTACACATTCGATATACCATTCAGAAGGAAGATCAACAGAGGGATTCGGTGGCATAACATTACTACGCGATCGATGTTTTGCCTTCTTTGCAACAGTGGACGGTTCTTCCTTCATTTCTTCAACTGCAACTTTGGTGCACTGCTTCAAATTATTGTATTCTTTTAATTCAGTATCTTGTCCAGCTTTTAGAATACGAAACAGCTGCATCGCATCCGTATATTGAGCATCACTGAAATTGAATCTCTTTAAAAGCTGCACAAAAAACGATACTCAAGAAAGTAAGTGTTGAGGTACACTAAGCCTGATTTGACTTCATCCAAAATAAGTATTAGTAGTATAATAAAAAAAAACGTTTTTTTTTTTCTTTGCAAATATTCTAAATAAGAATGCAAACAACTATTTGCAATGAAGAAATTGGTTTATGAGAATTTCTATTCATTCATCAACCAACCCTGCCATTTAATACCATCTCCAGTATCAAAATTTTAAGTGTGTTTATTTTCATATGATAAAAAACAGAATCGAAAGAGTTATTTTTTTGCAAAATTTGATGGATAAAAATTTGGAATGTAATTTTTTACCATATTAAATAACCGAAAAAGTTACTTAAGATAACGGATGAGTGTTTCTACCACGACTCTTGAATTTCGAACAATTTCACTATTTGGCTGATTAAAAAGACGTGCATTTATTGCAATATAGCGAATATCCTGCTCTAAACTTGCCAATCTTCTGCAAATTTTAAAACATAAATCTATTGATCGGAATGACTATTTAATGCTGCATACATCACTATATCGTCACAACTCAAATACCACGAAGAGCTCCATAGAGATTTCAGAAACGCTTACGATATCAGTCCTAATATTAATAGTTGAAACTGTTTAATCTTAGTTAACCAAATAATCTTTTAACAGATATGTTAGTTCATATATCCACACAGAACTAAAGTTAAACAATTCAAATTGCTAAGCTATATATATATATGATCATCGATATCAGTTATATGACTGCGATTAATTACTGTAATCAGTGAACCTGTAAAATCTATTTTTGACCCGTTCAACAATCGTACTCAAATCAATCGGATAATCCACATCCCACAAATAATCCGGATATTCAATCAAATTGACAGGTGCTGCAAATGGTTTAATGTGAGGATCATCTTCCATGCTTCTCACAGCATCGATGAAACGTTTCGAGCATGCACTGATACCCTCCACTGCGCCCATCCAGTCTCTTTCATTGACTGGATATTGAGAAAATAGTACTTGATCTTCTTCGCTTGCAATGCCTTGAAATCATAAAATGAGGTATCTAATAGTAGTAGACGATAATAAACTGATAAAATAATAACATTGATCAATTCTTTACCTTTATGCTGCTCCCTCGCTGATTAAAGTAAACGGATATTCCAGTTTACTTAACAAAATTGAACTTTATTTTTATTTATGACATCTTCCCAATCCATGCTTCTCAATCACATTTCTGACTCAGTCTACAAATAATGAAGTTTTCAATTGTACCTGAACGTCGATTTGGTTGTTGAGGTTGCACATCCCACGGACTCATCTTTTCATCTTCTCCAGTATCCCATCTAACTGTAAGGCAGTACCAATTCGATCTGGAATTTCACAGAATATGCTTGCACATTCAATTCTATGTCAAAAAGATACTTTGGTTTAAATATCTGCTAAATTTCTCATCAGAAATTGTACCTGATAATTTTTGACAAACAATCGTAAAACGACAAACCTCGGGTAATTTTCTTCATCATGTACCTCTTTCTTATCAATGGTACCAGTCCACCAATGATTATCCAAAATAATTTCAATGCGTGTACCCGGTTGATAACGACGTGCCACTGATTCATCGTAAAGATGTCGTAATATAATAAAATCGGGCACATTTTCCATATCATGAAATCTATAATTCAACCCGATAAAGAGAAATGTAAACCTTTTAAAAGTAGCAAAATTTGCAGTTATTCAAACAGAATGAAATAATTTATAAAGACTCCGGTTCTTCTCTAGCCTCTCTACTTAAATATAAAAAGAAATTATTCATCATCGTACCTACATAAACGACGTAAGATTTAAAGTAAATATATTATTTGTTATTAAACATAATATTTTGAGATAAAAGATACAATTATATTTACTTCACTGAGAATATCAGTCCGGTTCGCACACCTGCCACATTTGTCTGTGCAAGCTTTACTGCTGTTAGCCTATATGGTTTTCTTAGGTATCTTATCTGAAATATATTGAAATTTCATACTAATTTCAAGAGAAGTAACAATGCTCTAAAGAAATTAAAGTATGATGAAATATATCTCTGAATACATTGAACAAATCAAGAAGATTCTCAAAAATTGTTAGCTAATGGTAATTAAGTAATCTCAATCATGCTGATACTCCCAATAAACGAATATACTAAATACATTTTGACGTCAACGTAATCGTGAATAATACTACACAAACTAAGTATATTTCAAATATATGAAAATTGCACAAAATCTTGAATCTAAATCGAATACGATGAAATATCCAACTTCCTCAACGATGCAAAATTCTTCGGCATTTAATTGAGCCAATGGTTTGAGCCTATGAGTAACGTGATATAAGTCTCTTGTTTCTACAGCATGCAAATAAAATTCGTGCCCTAAAAGAAATTACTTTTTTCATTCTTTTTAAACATGAATACATAAAGGAAAACTCTTCAGATGAAAAAAACTTTTACAATAATTTTTATTCTTAGCCTAGCTGAGAAGCAAAGGGAAGGAACCGTATCAAGTCATGTTTGAAACCTAATACTTTTCCATGTCAAGTACATTTATGCTATCATGGAATGTTGTGTTGCACTAAATTTCAAAGATACAAGCAGATATAAGATTGTTCAATGAGATAATTCTCATTTAAGTCTAATCGAACTGTATTCATTCCATATAAATCATCTGTCTTGATATTGATTAAAAATTAACAATTTGTCATCACATACATTGCTTGTATCTTGTACAAATTAACTAGCAAGAAAAACATGGAAAGGATTAGGCTGACCACGTAGAAGGTATGAATATAAAAAGGGACGTGAAAAGGACAATTGTAAAACAATGCACTCATATAGAATGATGGGAAGGATGCCAACTTCCTTGTGGATCGTTCAATTATCATTTTGAGGTGAAAATCATAAAACTTAAATTTATTCGATTGATTAGTAAACTTACCTTGTCTGAAATAAACCACCTCATCTCCAATTTGTGCTATGTATGGAAAGCGAAGTGGTTGTGTTAGACGCATCCATCGTGGAAAATCTGCATCAGCGTCGTAATTATCTAGAGAGACAGGTGATGCGTCTTGGTCAGAAGGTGAATGTGGAGTAGAAATACCCGACATGCTATCAACTGATGAACGTAAAGCTGCAACTGTAGAGGGCGAAGATCTGATATTTGATGGTCCCGGTTCGGTATCTATATAATTCAGTTGTGAAACTGAAGAGGATGGTTCACATTTTTTATCAATTGAATTATCATCAGCTGACGGAACATCTTCGGCATCATCTGAAATCAACCCTATAAAATGAAAAAAGTAACAAAAGAACAAATATCAAGATAGACAATAATCGAACTAGTACTAAATTTAAGTACAACTGCTTAGCAAAAAATGGTGTTATCAGGTTTATACATAGAGACCATACCTGATAATACAATTCGTCGACGTCTTCTTCGTGTTGTTCTAATGGGTGTAGTGTTTGGAGTAACGATACTCTCGTCATGCTCCGTTTCAACTCTTCTTCGACGTTGATTCTGCAAAAAAAGTAACTAATCAGAGCAAGAAAGCAGATTTCAAAATACGCTTCGAGAAAAAAGCCATTCAACTTTATGAACCATCTAGATTTAAATAAACTAGTCATCAAAGGTGATAGTCATTATGCTATTATCCATTTCATAAAGGTGGGATGTAATGTAACTCATAAAGAATTCCTTTTTCGTTCCACATATGTTCGACTAAGAAAAGCAAAACAAAAATACTTCAAAAGAAAGGTTTTTGTTTGGACTATCGTTCATAAGGCACTTACTTCAACGGCTTATCCATTACATAAAAACCCAAAACATTGAATTTGTGTTAAATTCGTTCAAAGGCACCAGAAAGCTCCATTTATTCTCTTCTCTTTGCATATTTCTTTACTAACATGTAGCACATTTGGCAAGTAACTTACAGTGTAAATTAAGCAAGATTAAACTTATAACTGCTTTCTATAGATATAACTCACAGCACTTCTCCGCGTATTAATGACGTAATCACTATCGCTGGAATTGTCAGAACTCGCAATATTCTCGCTTGAAATTTCGTCATCAGTTACTGAAGTAGAGATAAATGATGAATCAGCCGTGGATGCTTCCGTTACATCATCATCAGCTTCGGTTTCATCTACTAATTGTTGATTCCGAAGCCTCCGCTGTCGCTGTGGAAAACATTCTGACCAACGAACTCCTACAAAATTTCAATTTCTTTTCTTGCACAAGTAATATACAGCAATAATTACAGTTATTAACAAAAATGAGCATCGCTTCTTTGGATCGTATACATTTAATCTCGGAATCCAATTTTTTTGTTGCATCTGATAAGATAACTGATTATTTAACTTAAAATAATTTTATCAGATTAAACGAAATCTTAAAACTTACCCGCTCTCCTTCTTCGAGAAGCTGTATTAATCACATTAGTTTTCTGAAACAAAAACTTTGTTAATAGTTCCATATAAAAAGAACATCTCAAAATTCTTTCTCATCAAAAAAAAAAAAAAAAAGCCACTGTAGTAAAAAAACCAATTTACTCGTTCAATAACTGAAACAGCACGTGGTCGCGTTCGATTCATTTCATGTAACAATGTATCTTCTTCCTCCTCCCTTAATTCAGTCAGATACATATTTTTTATCTCAACTGCTGATTTCGGCAACATGCAAACCATTTGTCGTAATAACCATGGTGGATTTTGTGGAATCAAGCTATCATCCTGAAATATCACATTAGTTGACAAAGCATTAATACATAAAGTGTGCTTTATATTTATAATAAAAGAGAATAAAGGGAAAAAATGGACGAGTCATAGATGACTATTTCAGCTATATAAGTAAACAAGTCTTGCATAAAAGAAACAAATATGAAGTATTACTCGTAACAACAGGTCACGTCCAGGTACCAATGCTTGTATATCATCATCATAATCAACACCATCTGCATCAACCATTCTTGGAGGGCCCATAAGATGAGGTGCGATTTCTGTTTCTTCATCCACAAAATAATTATTCTCATCCAGTATAAGTGGCCTTAATTCATTCATTTAAAAAAAAAAACAACCATTTGATATCACATAAATTTAAATGCAATAAACTATTTTCATTTTCTTTCCCTTCATCCTCAAAAAAATTTACATGTAATCAGTGTGGAAAAATTGTTCTTTTGGAGTAGTTTTAGCCATTTGATTCGTTCCAATACCAAGGATAGACAGATGTCCATGCGAATCGACAGCTCCAACCAAAGTACCATCAGGTGAAATTGCAAAATCAAAAACAGCTCCATACCCAGATCCTTCGATGAGATTCTGATGTCGTTTAACCAAAGTACCCGTATAAACATTCCAAACCTATAAAAATCCAAACATAAAATTTTCTATAAAATTCTTTTTATGTATCATAAATTATCTGTGGAAGTTATTTCAAATTATAGTGAGCATTGCAATTTACAACACCCAAACTTTAAAACTTTTTCAAGTAAACAAATCACTCAAATAAATCATACCATCAAAAAGCCATCATGACCGCCACTTAAAATGTAATCCTCAAATATCGGATGTGAATGCAGCACATAAGCATCCTCTTTGTGTCCTACTAGTTGACGTAATTCACTGCCGGATAATGAAGACCACACCCGTAAGATGAAGTCGGAACCAGCAGTAACAATAAGATCATCTTTCAATGACCAACATAGCATTGTTACCTTATATGTGTTACGTGAATTTGAAACCTTTTCATCTCTAAAATATTTTTTAAATTATTTTACTGCCGGTGAGCCAGTTATCATTTTGAAAGTCATATTTTCGACGACTTAGCCTTTGTTCCATAAAACATGGTAACTTATACATTTTATGCATAGTAAAAAAATAACTTATATCTTCACCTGAGTTTAGGTTGCAAGACAAGTGGAATCCAATCATTAAATTCAAATTTCCATACTTTAGCAATACCATCTCGACTACCACTTGCAAAACGTAATCCTCTGTGTGCCCATACCAAACTATCAACACGATCCTGAAAATTATCCGTCGGATATATTTTATGCTCAAGAACAAAACCAAGATAGATATAAGAATATCCGCTGCACTTAAATCTCAGCAATTAATATTCAAAAATTTCAACCTTGAGAGCATCGTCCAAAAGTTTATTTATAACTTTAGCAAAATATGAAACCACTTTATATTTCTGTATCATTAAATTAAATAAAACTTCGGATGCAGAAAAAAGAAATGAACGTACTGTATGAGCTTCAATATCGCTAACTTTGATAATACTATCACGAGTGATCTTGTAAATCCTGAGATTATGATGTGTATCACCAAAAACTACTAAGCTACCACCAGGGCTATGACATGAGCTTACAATACGAGCACCTGATGATGTACGTTCATAGAAACGTGTCGGCACTGCTCTGAAAAAATAAAGAGCAAATCTTGAATCTTATATGGACAAAAGAAAAAAAAGAAAAACTAACACCTGAGACAACTTTTTTTTTGTTAGTTATCATGAATAATACTATAATTCATGTCACTCTGTTCTCTAACAGAATTAATAGTAACAAACATACTCAAATTCATGATCCAAAGAGCTATAGCGATAAAAATTTACAAGACAATCACCACCAGCTGAAACCAAATAACGAGTGGTACCATCGACGAACGGAAGGAAAGCAATTAGCGTAACCATTGCCGAATGACTGCGATAAAAAGCTAATGGTGCAGCTGTTTGCAAACACCAAACTCTGCAATTTTTAAAAATTTAGCCAATAATACTAAACAATGATGTGCCCAATATTTGGATCACTGAGATAGCCTTAAACTATTGAATGTTACTACGCTCATATAACAATAATATAACAGAAACTACAATTCGAATACCCGACAGACATTACAAAAGAAAGACCAGTACTTCTCTCCTATAACATTAGCCAGTAGTATCTGCTTACCACTTTTTCCTCTTTTACTTTCTATGGAAAATACGTTATGATTCTCATATTCTGAGAGAGAATGTTTTCGATTACAAACAATAGTACAAGTATTTAATGGATACAACAAATGATCATACCAATAATTAATGTGCTACAAAGTAACGAAGGGAATAATAATTGATAGTCTATAAAAGTAATTTTAGTCCAGAAATAGTGGTTAAAATCTTAAAATTTTCAATTATGTTCCCAATTTTCAAAATTATTTGTGTAAATCATATGTTCCGATTGGTACCTTCATCTTTTCAAAGTATTTGTTGCAGTTTGTCAGCACTTTCATTCTATACAATTTCTGCTCATGAAAACGTGGTCTGGAAAATACTTTTCAAGACAATAATCGTATTAATGTCAATGATCTCTCATATTACTTGCAAAAGGGATTTTTAAATTTTCTGCTGCAATAAATCCCTATCTACTGATCCCAAGTAGTTAACAAAAATCACAAATGATGATAACATAGTAATAAAATAGTGATAACAAAATATGGTGAGATGACGGAATCAGAAAAATGCGAATAATTTTAAGACTGGTTAAATTAAATACAAGACCAAGGGAAATAGTTATGGACAATAAAAGCATTCTTTTAGAGTTGGTATTAAATGGCGCATCTGACACATTTCTTTTTAATTAGAAAAATGTAGCACTATTACCAGTGTTACCATTTATTAATTTATTATTATTGCTACTATTATTATAACTATTATTATTATCATTGATATTATTATCAGTTATTGTTATTCTCATCGTCATCGTTACTATTATTGTTAAATTAAATGTTAGAAAATAATAATTATCATCACGGTCATTACTTCCACCACAAAAATCCTCATTTATGCTTATTATAATTACTGCACACCATCTGTTACCATATTCATTATTATAAAGATTATTTAAATGACATAATAGATTGACACGTTCAAAAAATACAAATTACCTAATTGTTTTATCCACGGAACCAGTACCTAACAACGTATTGTCCTCACAGACGGACATATCTGAAATTTCCGCTGAATGTCCTCGCAGCGTGAAACGTAACAAGCCCGTCCGTACATTCCACACTTTAACAAGATTGTCATCAGCACCCTGAAAAAAAAGGAAAAATGACACGACTCCAATCCTAACAAAAATTAAATTTCCTTTGTAACAATTTAAATCAATTAATTAGACTATCAGATAGTCACCTAATATTAACATAATTTACGCTTTTCTTGCTTGTGAGTCAAAAAAAAAATTCTAATTATTTTAAATCATGAGATTACGATGAAAAAACGTTATGACTCTTTATTTTGGTATTTCTGTTAAAGATGAAATTTTTGTAACACGATTATAGTTTAATGAATATATTTTTTGGTCTTTAGCAGTCTAGAATAATGAACTTCAAAACTGAAGAATTTAACTTCAATTGGATATCATCCAAATCAGCTTACAAATAAATCCAACAAGAATGTCAATTATAAAAAATATTACCGTAATGACATAAGAGCCTGATTTATCAAAAGCAACGCAAAAAACCGATGACAGATGGCCAAGAATGCGGTAATGTAATTCGAAATTATTCAGTGAACTCTGAAAAAATTTTTCTCTTCCATCGCATATATGCACGCTTAATTGTACTAGACGCAATTCTTAACAGATGTTTACAATATGTAAAAATTACAATATGCAAAAATAATATTTAATAATCTCTATACTATTCTGACCCTACAGGATCTTGATCTTTTCGTTTATTCGCCTATTCCTAAGATCCTGCAATCATTTCAGTTGCTAAATAATGAAATGTTAATGATATATTAATGGAAGTGAATTCTCCAATATTATAAAAGTTATCTTACTAATTTTTTATTTATGCTAATTCATTTTTATTTGGATGATTGCAATGTGGAAAAAGCCAAGTTAGCAAATAAATGAAACAATAAATGAAACTCTCTATATGTTTTCCTTGCATACAAAGATATGAAATCTTGCTCAATACTTCAAACTATTGCATTTGAACAGTAAATATCTATATAAAAAAAAAAATTGACACCTCTCACATAATCCATAACAGTTTCTTCATCGAAAATTTAAAGACCAGGATATAAAATTTCAGAAAAAATTTAAACGAAAAATCAGTAACTACAAATTATTACATACCTTATGCAAAAGATATTTCGGTGTTATTTGCCTACCCATTTCACGTGCCATCCGTGATCGTATTGGATTCAATTTTTTCAGCATACTGATATTCGAACGTCCTAAGGCAATCCGTAATGCTGGCTTCTTTATCAAGTCCCCTGAATCATGAAAGAAACTACTTTTCAATATCGAACTATCAGTTAACATGTAACAGTAATCGAGCAGAAAAAAAAAAGAAAACCTGATTTCCGATCTAAAGCATATGGTTTATTCATATATATTCTTAGAGGTAGATTTCGCAAAGGAATCGGAACTGCGACAGTGATCAGAGAACCAAGTCGTTCGATTAAAGAAACCAGTGAAACATTTAACGGTATAACGGATCTTTCCTTTAGGAAAAAAGAGAAAAACGATTAATTCTGGAAATGCAACTACGAAAAAAGAATAAACTCTGAAAGAAAAAACAATTTTATAATTTAAACTCTATTCTTCCACACAATTTAAGCTAATTTTCGCCTCATATTTCAACATTTTGATCTTATCGAATTGTTCAAATTATTCTAAATAACATTAAAAATCCAAAATAAACACTGATGTCACATGAATGAACTTACAAAATCGTCGAAAGAACGCTGATGAGCTTTGCCTTTATAATCATATCGCATAGGCAGTAACTGAAAAACAACAATATAAAACAAATGAAGTAAAAATAATAAAAACAATTCTGTGGTATTAATGGTCTTAAAAGAGAAAGAAAATAAGTGAAACAATCCAAAAAAAAAGAAAAAAGAAAAAAGATACGCTTCAGAAAATTACAATGACGAATAACACTGTTTGCCATTTGCTACCTTGGTTTTGTATAGAAAATCTTCTTTAACAGGAATTTGTTGTCACTGGTACTAGTCAACAACTTTTCAGGGTTCAGTGAAGTAGACAGAATGGTCAAGTCGGAAAGAACGAAATGAGCAATAGCTTCTATTTGCTGTCACTAAGGCGAGAAATATGTTCTCATAATTGAAAACAAGCTCACGAGTTTAGAGCAAGAAAGTTTTCGACAAAATTTAGGGTTGATGAGGATTTCAACTTGTACATTTAAATATTTTCATTGCGCAGATTACAGTAAGTTCTAACCGACAAAAATATCAACATTAAGGATTAAGACTGTCAAATATTTTGATTAGACATCAGTAAAAATAATGAAGAACCTGATTTTTTTCTATCTCATCCTTCAGCATCTTGGCTGCTTCCTTACAGGGGCCTTGAGAGAGATATCGTTGAATTGCCACAAGCAATTCTGAAATTTTATTAAAAGTATTAATATTCGATATGAAAAGCCTCATTATATAATTAAGTTTCCAACCTATTCTTTTTTAAAATTTTAGTAACTTTATGACCAAATATTACAATTTGAGTAACTGATAAAAATAGAAATATTAAAAAATACACCGTATTTTCCATAGTCCCAAGCCAGGGTTATTATTAAAATTGCACTAAAACTATTCTTGTGTGTTTCTGTGGTACAATACCACATTAGCATGAGCTTCTAAAGAAGACAATATCAGTGCTTCTAAAAATTTCAGATTTTATTCTATTCATAAACTATATATAAAATAAAAAATCGCAGAATTACGCAAATACCTTACCATTATGTGTTACGGCATCAAATTTTGACATTATGTCATGATTTCATCGCGAATCCTCACATACAGTAGAAAGCCTAAAAATTGATGGGCTTTAGAGCAAACTAATATTGCGCCAATTTTAAAACGACATAAATACCACGCTTACACAGAACTCAAAAAAAAAGACTGACACAGAATTACTTGATTTTTTCCTCCCCTACATAATTTAGATCAGAAATAAAATAATAAACCGAATTTCGTCAATTAATTCTAGATATCATTAATGCAGTATGAAATGGCTTTTTGCACCAAACATTTTGTAGTATCCTGAAACAATATAAAACAATGCAATTTAAGTGTGAGATGAGACTTAACATCTCACACTACATTCATACTAATAAATTATTAAACTAGTGTTTCACTTAGACATCCTCAAAAAAGGTCCCGTATTGTAATATTGCTATTTCAACATTTCACATAAAAGAAGGCTGTCCACAGGCATTATCAGTTTTGTTGTAACCGTACTTAAAAACGCAAAACAACTGTTACTGAACAGTTGAATCGTCAAGAGACGTCCGACGAATATCAATTGAAATTTTTCTTTTTTTCTTTTTTTGTTTCAAATTGACGTAGTGTAAATGCTTGTAAAAAAAGTTAGAAAGAAATGCAGAATTATCAAACGTTATGCTCAATATAATACCGATTATGACCTCAATAAGAAATAAAAAATCAAAAGCACAAAATATTCATTCAAAGCTGATTTCATTTTAAATAGTTAAGATAAACTTAAAAACCAATTAATTAAGAATGATAACTAAAGCAAAAAACAATCCAATATAACTAAACAAATATTTCATTTGTAGCAAAGCAATAAACCAACTGGCGCAATTTTATAAGCGGTGATCATTTATTTGTTCAAATACTTTTTCCTAAAACAAGTATGAACAAACAATCGAAATCCTGGAACATTCAGCAAAACTCCCACCTAATATCTCTTAGCAGGCACCAACATTAATGCTTTTTAATGATCCCAGAAAAAACCGGAAATTTCATAAGACCGCTGTTGCGACACACGCACTTGTTCTGATAACAATCGCTTTTCTATCACTTACAGAAACAAATGTATCATACAGTAAAAAAAAAAAAAAAAAAAAGAACTTCAATACAACATTGTCAATAAATGTAGACATATTAGAGAATATGTCAACTGAATTTAGTGCTTATTAAATTCCGTAACATCATGAACAACAGTATTCTTTTGAAATAATTAGAATTAAGAGGAGAGATGTGATAGGGACGAAAGAAAATAGCAAAAGATAGCAGCACTCCGAAGACTTGAGAAAGGTAACAAATAGAACATAAACACATTGATGCACATCTCACTTACACATAGATCTACTTTATAAATCGCGCAAGATAAATAAATATACCTGAAATTGATTCAATCAAAATAAAATTAGCGGAGATACTACGTGGAGCAGATTAACTTATGGTGATTGAATGGAATATTCAAGCATCAAACTTCATATAAAAGTATTAGGAGTGCTGAAGTTTAATTAATGAAGAACAATAATATACAGATCAAGAAATGATGGTATTAGTAATTTTAACATTCCAATACTTTTTTTTCCCAATGCAAAAATCAATTGGATTTCATTCTTTTCTAGGCAAAAAGTCTGATCACGTGATGGAATTAAATTTGCTATTAAATATTAACAATAAATAACAGAAGATGCACTGCTGAATATGGAAATCTTAGAACATAAAAAAAAGAAATCCTAATATGTGGCACCCTCTGGAGGTTGTGGTAACTTCATATTCTCTTTTGCAGTCATCATTGTCTTTCGTATATCTTCAAGAATCGTTTTGATATAAAAAGTGCTACTCCACTGACGAAGAACGGGTACGCATCGCCTATCCACCTGTGATTAAATATTTTTACACTTAAATATTATTTTATCCATAATATAAAAAAAAAAGCAACTGCGGAGAACGTGCCATCTCTAAAAAGACAGGGAAGGAAAATTGATTTAAGAAAAATTCGGACATACAACTTCATATAAATTTAACTATACAATTCATCTGCTTCGTTTCAGCAATTCTAAGTCTACTTTGCATCGTAAATGTACAGAATTCAGCACAACTCAGCAAAAAGTTAAATACTACCATGCCATTAACTTGATTTACGCCGTTCAGGTTGATTTTTGTCGTAAACCGTACAGTTGGTGCTTCCTTTGGATAGTTTTGACCACATTCAATGCGTAAATTATATATTCTGGATTCGAATGGAGTCTAAATTATAGCAACATCGAATAGGTACATTAAACAAAGTGAGATAATTAATTAGATAACTGATCGCCGACATATAGTCTTACATTTAATAAAATTAATAGATCGAAACATTCGAAATAATCTCTCAAGTTATATTTTATCTTTCAAACCATTTTGCCGTTTGAAGCAACCACCAGTAATATAAAGAGAAAAACAACAAAAAAATAAAGAAAAACTTAAGACGATAAAATTTCCACACAAATTTAATAAAAAAGAAAAGAAGAAAAGCCAACTCTTGGAGGGCCAATAATCATTCCTGTCCAACGCGTCAATGTCATATCATCATCATCTTCAAGTCCCCATGATATATTGCCATCACCTTTGCCTTTCTGCCCATCTTCAAGTTCTTCCAGTAAACGAAAATTTCGAGGAACATCTACTAAAAAAATTTTTTGGATGATTGAAAGTCATAAATAGCATATACGCTAAGGTATAATAAAGATACAAAAACTAATAATTGAAGTCGAAAATACACACTAAAACTAACCCATGATGATATCCTGAAGTGACGAATCTCCACGCACGTCAACAAATCTAGAATTAATGTGCTGCTAGTACGGCAGCAGAACATATACTTTATTACCTTGCAACGCTGCAATATAACAATTAGCAATTTTAATTCAACTGCATATCAAAACATTACTATTAACATTTTATATAAACTAAAACATTCAAAATATGCTATTTCATGCAGATTGAAACTTCAACGTTAATTCCTTCTGCTAATTGAATGCAACGAAGATGTTATATATTACATTCTGGATAAAATTTTCCCCAAATTATATTTATTACATGTTCCATCTCAAGCAATAAAACCATACTGTCATATCTAATACTTGCTAATTTGTTATCATAATATCTAACACAGAACTTCATAATATTTGTTTCGTTTCACATCTCTAATTACAGATGAAGCAAAACTGAATGATAAGGCAACAGCTGAAAAAAAAAAAAAAAAAAATCGATTGTACAAATAGGCACATATTAATATCATCAGACTTAGTGTTCTCAGCAGTAATACATCGCATAACTAATTAGGATAACGTGGAAAAAAAAAAGGCCTGATTTAATTAACTTAATTAATGAAAATATAAAACACCAAGAAAACACCTAAATCAGTCCACCAACGAAACTCTCACCAAGCAAACAGAAATCTCTTGACAACTTTAAACGACCAAATATCTATCATCTCGCTATGTAATAATTTTCAGTCCATTCATATAATACCCACTGTGAAACGTTATTCAAACCTAGCTTGTATCACGGGAGGAGTTTTTAGTACTGAAGTTTACATTCTGGTTGAAACGTATTTACGGCTAAGTTCCTGACGCACGTAAACTGTTAATATACATTATTTGAATATGTTAAATTTTGTATTGATATAATTAGTATATATGTTAATATATTGATATAATTTAAGTTGTTAGTGAATGTGAAAATTACTGATATGTAAGAATTACTAAACCATTAATTACTGATATTCCACTCATACACCTCATTATTTATTCATATTTTCTGGCGCAATCACAAGTTAGACTCTCCTGTATATGAACACACGTAATGTATGATTAATGATAAGCTAACTTATGAGAAAATTCCGGTTGAAACATGTATCTTTTACTCCAAGCATTTCGTTTATTTGAATTTTTGTGTTTATTATCACTATCGCATTAATTTTCATCAACATTCACTTTCCTCGCGTATATATATATATATACCAAGAGGACTGGCAGTTTTAATTCATTTGCTACCTAACAAAATATTTCTGATGAATTCTGCAAGAAATTTAGATGATTGAAAGAAAAATTGTAGCATTTCAAATTATCAAAATGAGCTAAAATACTTGAGAGTTGCTTTATGAAAATATAAAATGGAAAAGGTTTTATTCTATAATTTATCGTTAATTATGCGAGAAATTGATGATGATTAAATCAACTAATTTTACTGTATGTATAAAAAATCTTGCTAATTATTCCAGTTAATTGACTGGTATTGGTTTTCAAGTATATCTGACAACACGACACAATGGTTCAGGAAAGTACGATGATTTGGTAGGTTAAAGGCTTTTCTTTGCACTATTTTTTTTTTTTTTTTTTGACCTTTGTAATGCTTTTATATCTTCTAAAAAAAATGGAAGTTTAATTACCTAATACCTAATAGTATAATTAGTTACCCAACAATACTTCAATCATTTTCCAAGATATTTAAACAATTCAAAAAAGAAATTGCATGTTTTCAAACTATCAAACTATCATAAGCTGGCATACATAAAAATTGATTTATGGTAATATACACAAGAAAGGATTGCTTTATGATAATGTAGGAAGAAAAGGGGCTTTTATATCTTATGTAACTTGTTGGAGAGAATAATTTATAGCGCCATACTTTGTCCGAATAACACTGATTTTAGAAACCACTTTTTTTTGGCGTAAAACTTCTGCATGCTGATATAGTCATTGTAAGTGTTGCTTTGTATTTTAGAAAATAAATATTGCATGATATTCGTATGTTTATGTTGCAACACGTTATTGAAGCGTACGTATGATACACGTCACGTGATATTTTCAGCGTTGATAATTCCGAGTGGATGCGAAATGGTGATTTCGCACCAACTCGTTTGCAATGTCAACAAGATGCTGTGAATTTGGTGTTGCAGTGTAAACTTCGTGCTAATCCGGAAAATGCTGTTGGTTTGATTGCGATGGCTGAGTATGTTTTTTGGTGATTGCTAGGCTTATCTTTAATTTTACTATTTAAAGAATAGTTTTAATAAAAAAAAAGGTCTTCCTATGGCAGCTAATTTCATCTAAGAAATAAGTTCTTATTATCAGAAGTATCATTCGGAAATAAATTATTTCTTAAGATATCACCAAATAAGATCTTGTTATATGATATTGCAGTATTAACTCTAAAAGAATATATAAGTGAAAATTTTGATTTAACGCATCTTAAGCTCTATCTTTTTTCCTGCTATTTTTTTTTTTTTTTTTTTTTTCACATTGGTTACTTTGCTAAAAGCCATATTCAAATTACTGAATGAAACACATCTAGAAGAATTAAATCTTTTAGATGTCAAAACTGTATTTTCGACTGGTGGATTATCTTTCGAAAAAAAAAAATCAATCATTTGACTCTTTACTTTAATTTGTCAATAAATAAGTTGATGAATAAATATAAAAAATGTGTAATTACAGTACCGTGGAAGTGCTGACAACTTTAACCCAGGAAAACGGAAAACTATTTATGAAACTTCATCAAGTGGAACCAAAGGTAAGTAGTGGTGTAAAATGTTTGGAGAAAGTATTTGTAATTGAAATTAGTATAGATAACACTATTATGAAACTTTTGTGAGCAACTTTGACAAATATGGACTTTTTTGACGGACATTGCCCCTTTTTATATAAGCAAATTATTAATTCGTATATATTGTTCTATTAATATAGCAAAGAATTTTACTTCCTAGAAACCATAAAATTAAATGCCATGACAAAAACCTTTTTTCTGCAGGGTGCATCAAATTTTATCAATGCAATCAAAGTGGCACACTTGGCGTTAAAACATCGTCAAAATAGAAATCACAAAATGCGGATTGTTGTCTTTGTTGGTAGCCCAATTGATCATTTGAATTCTGCTGAAGTTCGTTTATTATTCTTTTCTCTCTTTGTCCTATCATTCTCAATTCTTCTTTTTTTCTTTTTTAAATTGTCATTTGCTGTTGTATTTTTATGCAAAATCTTCATGGTACCACTGATTCACCCTACTTATCGTTTCATTTTTCATCATGATTCACATATAGCGAAGAATATAGGCTGACATTGAGTTAAAAAAAAAAAAGCTTATAAGAAATTCCAGCTTACAAAGCTTGCGAAGAAGTTAAAAAAAGAGAAAGTCCAAGTAGATGTTATATGTTTTGGTGAAGCGGATTCAACCGATAGTGAAATTATGGGACAGTTTATCGAAACGTTAAATGGAAAGTAAGTGACAATAAGAAATTTGTTTTCTAATAAGTAGCTTAAATAAGCTGAATGAGTTCTAAGCAATACACTGATAGAAGCAAACTGATAAACATTGTTTAATCTATTGTGGTTGAATTTTGGCAAAACAAGCTAATGAACTTGTGTAACTCTTATTTAAATGTAGGATTGTTATCTCTCAATTGTTGAACTAAGAATTATAGCCTTTAAAACATTCTAGTTATATAGCACTCACCACTTTCGTATTTTTATATTTGTTATTTTCTTTCGATCTCATTTAGAGAAGGTAGTGGTTCGAATTTGGTAGTTGTTCCGGCTAGCTCATCGCTTACGGAAGCATTAGTCTCTTCACCAATATGTCGCGGTGAGGATGGTACTGCTGCACCAGTAGTAGCTTCAGGTGGAGGTGGATTTGAGTTCGGGATTGATCCTGAAGATGATCCTGATTTAGCACTGGTTATAATTTGCATTTTTTATTAGTGTATAAAAAATTGGATTATCAAATAATTATGGTAGCATACTCTACTGATGTCAAATTCTAAAAGCCTATGAAGAAGCGGTGGAAGCATTCGGATCCTTTTTTCCTTTTTAATTTAAAAAGTTTCATAATTTAAGGCACTTCGTGTCTCATTGGAGGAACAACGACAACGACAAAGAGGTGGCGGTACAGATGATGGTGAATTACAACCAGCAAATACTGCTGGAAGTAAGTAATTTTAGCTTTAACATATACACGAAAAAATTGTTCATCTAATTTAAATTTCAACAAATAACAAACAGTTGTTACAAATTTTTGATGCAGATTTGAAATACTTTTTCGAAAATGTATGTAAATTTTGTTTGTTAAATTAAGATGACATTATGACAATGGATCCTGGAGCGATGACCGAAGAACAGCAGTTGGAATGGGCATTGCGTATGTCAATGCAGGAAGGTACAGGTGCTGCTAGTTCCGCCACACTACAGACACCTTCCCAAAATACCATCACAACTGGTCAATCGACAACGACAACTGAAATGTCTGCAATGGAAACTGCTACTGCTGCTCCACCGAAAGTAAATCAGAGCGGTACTACCGAGCAGATGGAAGTTGACGATTCAGCGTCTACACAGGATGCCACTATGGTAGCTTCCTTTTTTTTTTTTTTTCAGAATGCTTATAGTTCTTCATATTACCTTAAAATTTTTGGAACTAACTATAGAAGGATATATGAATTTTGAATTTGAAAAAGATTCAATCTTTTTTGCCATATTCCTGTATGAAATTTATATTTCAATTTAAAAGAAAGATTTTCAAATTCCACAGCAAATTATTTAGATAATCGAATGAAGTACAATAAGTTTTAATTTGCATATTATATTCAATTATATATGAGGTTAACATAACAAAATTATGCTAGAAATTATATCCTGCGATAAAATCAGTTAAGTTTTTGTAGTTATGAAAACATTACTTAATATTGTATTAGTTTGGCATATTATATTTTCCCATTTTTATAGACTGAAGATGATCAACTTGGACAATTAATGAGTGATCCTGAATTACTTCGTCAACTTTTGGCGGATCTACCAGGCGTAGATCCAAATTCGCAAGAAGTTCGTGATGCGGTGAACAGTGCTGCCGCAGCAAAAGAAAAGGTAAATTTTTCCTAACAATCATACAGCCTTCTGGTTCGGAAGTAATACTAGCAGAAATATAGAATTATATTTTAACATTTCCAGAAAGAAGATAAAGATAATCAGTCGACAAAATAAATCTATGGTGTGTTAGGAAATGATGACTGACTGAATTGTGATGTCAGCATGCATTGGGAATGATTTTTTTTTTTAAAGTTTTCAGTATTTTGTAATGATTTTTTATGTCCGCATATTAAAAAGTAATTGATTTGTCTCTTCAACACACTCAAATCGCAATGTACACATTATGTCTAAAATACTACTCATATTCTGCCTTCTACAAATGATAGATCCTACTGAATCAAATAAGGATTAAAATCATCTTTTTTTATTTTTGCATTAATGAATGACTTTCGTATCTTTACAATCTGGCACGTGAGATTATTGATGAGGCAAAAGTATTTCCAAATTCTTTACGTATGTAAACTGCGACATATAAGGCTATCACAATGTGATCTTACCATTCATGCATTAAATATCATGAAAATGTCATTGTTGTAAGCTCAACAACTTTTTATACTGAAATAACAATACATGAAAATATGAAAAACAACAGAAAGTTTCTTATGCAATTTGTTGAAAAACATAATTCTCTTACTGCTAGATTCTACAAGTCTTAGTAGAATCCGACGTCAAAAAATCATGGAATTACATATCATTATTCTGTCATGAGATTATTTAAATGTCATAAAACTTCTGTTAAAAAAAAAACTGTAGCAGAGGGCTTGTCTCCCTACTACCCTTTTACAAACAAGCTGATACTACTAACTAGTACAATATGACCAATGAATTTTATTTAGGTAAGTAATTGGAAAATGTTAAAAATATAATTTTTCGTTTACATAACATTACGATCAAAATCGGAACAACATTTTCAGTCTTAAATAAGAGGAATATGAAACTTTCTGACTTCTTCAAGATTAGTTGCTAGAATGATCAAATGAATAGAAAATAAAATGGAACACCAATTTTGATCTTATTTTAAAGCTATTTTGATATGTTAAACTAACAATGATTTTCTTACCAGTTTCACCGGGAAGTACTTAGGAAAGAAATTGCAAGATGGAATACTGTGTATATAATAGTTTAGTTTGAAAATATTACAGAACTATTATAAATTACAATATTGATTAGAGAGCACAAACTAGCAAAGAATGATATATAAAATTAATAAGAATGATTTTCTCATATGATTATTCCACTAAACTCCAGAATTCACCGGTATTTGATCTATTTAAGTGTAGATGTTAATTCTTAGATATTTATGCCTATTTACTATATATGTAAAACAATAAATCACAAAGTGACTTTTTTTTTAGGTTTATTATTTTTCATAGAAAAAAATGATTATTTATAGATCTGTGTAATGGATGATCCAAAACATTACATTGAAATTTCATGAAATTTGGAATGAATGAATGATGAAAACGTTTTTAGAATATTATTGAAAATATCACATAACAGTAACAATCTCAAAATTCTTCAACATTAAGTAATAATAACAATTTAAAGATTGCTTTCTAATAAATTTCAATATTATATTTGACAGATTGTTTCATCAAATAATATACTATGGAATATTATCAAATGTTACAGGAATATACTTTGACATTTTCATTGAATCATATGTCATCTCTTTGTTTACAGGCATATCCTTCACAAGCATTTGCATCAATCGACCAATCACATGTGGATTAAAATTGTTTACTGATTCTGCATCAGTGTCATTCTTTTTACCAAATTCAAATATACCTTTATCGCAATCATATCGATCATACAGATTTAGTGGTCCTTCGACGTAGCATAAATTTGAACGTTTATTTATTATTCCCTATAAAAAAGAAAAGCAAGTTGAACATTTTTTATTCTAATAAATTTCAAAAAAAAAAAAAAAAATCAGATAGGTCAAAAAAAAGAAAACTTTAATTTGGATAAAAACATTTTAATTTACTTTTTTCTTCACGAAAGATAATTAACTGAAGCAAACACTATCTAGTTTGTGTAGCTAAACAAATATATTGAAAAACATACCTCAATATCCACGTTAATAAGTAAAGTGTTCAGTTGAGCTATAGCAAAGAAGAATTGCTTTCCATTAGATAACACTAACTGCGATACAAAAGGATATTCGATATCGTTGTATTGAGTGAAACCTGAAAAAGTAAATCATAATCCCAAATTGTTATTTTTGAATTTTATCATTTTGATATACTATTTTCATCATTGATATGCAGTCATTGAACATCAACATCGACTTGTTAATGTGATTCAAAAAAATTTTCTGGCATTTTTAATAAAAATTTCAATGCCTTTCAATGAAAATTTTTAGCAAAGCTTACTCGTAAGTTATAATTATTTAAATTATGCCAATATATTATAAAGAATAGTTGAAAATGTTAGTTAAACAATTGCATAATGAAACAAAAAATAATATTTAAATTGAAATGCACACCCAATGCATGAGCTTGAGCATTTAGCCAAGAAAAGAGCGATACAACAGCAGAAGCTCGAAGGCATTCATTGCGAACTATTTCCTCTTCCTCGCCCTTCACTTTCCATCTTTTACAATGAATATCCAAATCATTAAATTGTTTAAATCCTATCTGACCATATTTGTATTCTTCACCTGAACATCGAAATTTTTAGAAAATCAAAAAATAATTTATGAATAATGAAATTTTTAGGTAATATTGCAGCATATTTTCGAAAAAAAAACATTGGATTTTCTTTTGAAATAACAACAGCAACGAGTAATTTTGAATGGTAACACTGAAAAAAATTACGAATAATGAAATTTTTAGGTATTACTGCAATTGGAAGCAATTCTATAATGATCTGAAAAGATAAAGAAATTACGAAAAGAAAAAAATTGAAAAATTAAGTTATAGGAATAAAATTCCAAGTATAAAATTGATTGAAATTCGAAAATCTTACCACAATCTGGTTCATATCCTGGACACTGCCATAATGGATCTGCATCAGCCATCATCCCAAACATAGCAGGAGAATATATTAATTCATCTTTAATATTAAATGAAGGATCAAACAATGGCTCCACAACTTCCTTATCCCAAAATGACATCAACTGAAAGGCACAATAATAACTAGAGTAATCAATTGTGCGATATATCAGTAGTCGATCAATAGCTAATCAATCAAATAACAATGTCCAAATTTCGGATTTTCGGTAAAACTAAGTTTAAATAATAAGTAATTCATCGTGTGTCAAGACTTTCATCTCATTTGAGCAAATTTCGTTCCATATTCTTTTTGGCTAACTATGTTTGATTGATTTCAAAATTTACAGGTTTCAATGGATGTTTCGTTCGTAACTGCGTTGAAAATGAATCCCTCATGACGAAAGCCAATTCACCAAGCTTTGCTCTTCAAATTTTCAATATTTAAAATTTCAATTGATTATTTCAAAATTCTGACATTGAAATTTATGATTTTAAAATGAATTACTCAAAATTTCCTCTCATTTTTCACTCATTTTTGTTCCAAAAAAAATCAGCTCATAGCAGTAAAATTCATTTTTTCTACCTGTTATCACCTCGATGTCGTTGTGTATTAACATTTTCGTAAAGAGCATCAAATCCACAACGAATCCAGAATGATTCACATCGTGGCGCATGAGATATCTAAGACAAATAAAAGCTTCGAACAAATATGCATATTTCGTACAACATTGAATAGTTAATATTCACTTGAACTGTTTATTTTGCCAAATTCTGATCATTAATATAACTGGAAAAAATAAAAACGAAATTCTAGAAATTTCATTATTCTAAATATACTTTATCTAATGCTTTTGAATTAATTACAATTTATGAAATAAAAATAAACCCTCTGTTGTGCTAGACAAGAATACATGCCGCTTTGAATCATATTTTCAAGCAACAAATCCAGTAAGCTTCTCAAAATTCTCGTAGTTCTTTCTTGTTCGCTATCAACATTCGACGATTCCAAATGTAATTTCAACATTTCGCTTAAACGATTCTGAAAAATTGAAAAAAAAATTAAAGTATAAAAAAAGTCGTAAGAAATCGAAACATCTGCAACAAAGCGTTTGGCAATAAAAATTTGAAATTACCTCGAAATCTTCAGTAAGCATTGGAATAGATTCATCATACCATTGGTTTAATCCTTCTATACATCTTGTTTTTGTGATATACTGATAAAAATTTAACGGATCATAATAATTCGGAAACGACTGTATCCTCCATGCTTTTCGTGTTTTCAATAACTGCGCCTGCCATGGCCTAAAATATAAGTAAATGCCAAAAAAAAAAACTCCCAGATGACATAATAAACTGATTTATTAAAAAAAGTGAAGCACAGAAGTGATGCTTCTTATATTTTCCATGTATTTCTTCAATAAAATACATTAGTAGAAAAAAAAAAAAAAAAAAAACTCCACAGAACAATTTATTGCCAAGAAAAACAAAGAAATGAATGAATTACGTACCGATGAAAACGTTTCTCACGTTTCGTAAATTCACGTTCATATGGATTAACAAAATCAATCCGTTCCGAAGCACTAGGTAAACTACGTACAAGTTCGCTCATTACCTGATAATCATACAAACGTGGTCCCATGCCACTTGCATCACCTTCATTCTATAAGAAGGGAAAAATATTTTAAAAAAAAATTGAGTGAAATTGAATAAAACACTGAAATGCTTATTTCTTTGAAATATTACTTCATTTGTTAATTAAAAAATTCATAACATAAATCGAATACATTACATTTCATGCATTGATAAATAAAATTATCACTTACTGGAAATGGTGGAAATGGATCTGGCGGTTTACGTTCGAATGGTTTTAACGGATGAAAATATGCGGGGCGAAATGTTTTAGGAGGTATATAATAGGTAGTATCGATATTTTCTTTCGTTGATTTGAAACGTTTTACTAATGTAAACGCTACGTAGACACGATATCGATGCATAATTTCTTATCTCTGAAAGCTCAGTACATTTAATCACTTCAAAATTACAAATCATAATTATTAATAACGAAGAATTAGTAACTCAAAATTTTTAATCTAAGACTCATTTCACATAAATATTTGCTGATTTAATTGCAAATACAATTGCAAAATGAATAGAATTTTCTATCAGAAAAGCTTCGTTATTTCATCCTTTGTGAGAAGGACAATAATTTTGAGCACTTTTACAATTTCAGTATATTAACACTTCTTAACCCACCCATCGAGTAGATTTCTGATTTCCAAGTAGTTATAATAGATACCGGGAAATAACTTTATATAATGGAATTAATTCATCGGAATATTTCACATCAGAACAATCAATTACAAAATTTATTCACTATATTATAATTATTTACAAATTTGAAGCGATGAAAGAAAGATCAAAGCACTGAACAATAATTATCCATGCAACTCAAGTGTGTGAATATAAATATGAAAAGTAACAGTGATTAAATTAAACAATACCGGTTTAAGAAGAAGAACTTCACTAACAACGATGCAAATAAGAATGAAAAATATTACTTTAGATCACTCGAAAAGGAAAAGTGAAAGTATTGTAAATTAATGTAAACATTAGCATAATTTGAGAATTTGGACTAAAAATTTGTCTCGAACTTGTCTTACATCTATTTTCTATAATTGTAATTTTTTGAATTATATAAAATGTATTCTTCAATTCTACCATATAACAAATGCAGATGCTAATTTATTACATCTAAGTTGAAATGATTCACGTGATGTCGTACTTATATTACAGTATAAAAATAAAATAAGCATGCGCAGATGCACGACAGATATCACATAATTCTGGAGAGGAAAAAGAAAGGAAAAAAAAAAATTGTAAAGACTGTTGTTTTATAGTCAAAATATATCTTACCAAGATGAATTGTATCACTATATTGGAAGCAAATATAGCTATAATATAATTATAATTATTTTAAGCATAAATAGAAAATGCTCCCATAACTTTGAGAAATGCTCTTACCTACTGACAACCTAATGAATCGAATGAAAAAATTTGATTCCTAATCATAAATCTAATTCTTTCAATTTCTGATTTACATAATATTACATTACCACAAGATATTTGACAATAGCCAATTCCACAGTTCTTTGCAAATTCATAACTCATCCTGTAATTTCTGAAAAATCAAAGATATTTTATATGTTAAATTATTCTAAAAAAAAAAAAAAAAAAAACATATCACTGTATTCTAAGCAAAGTACTATGCAACTAAAACAGTATAAATCAGTGCCTAAAATAGGATGCATACTATTACGCTAAATAAAAATGGCGGAAGATATCAAGAGAAAGCCTCAATTATGTAAATAAAGTTGCACAGAAATACATCTCTCTCTTTTGTTATTTACAAAACTTTGACACTCATTAGCTAATTATTACTGTGTACAATAATTTAAATATAAGTAACAAAAGGAACAAGGAGAAAGAAAGTTAAGGTAATCATAAAACCAAAAAGTTGGAAAATTTTTTATGCTTCTTTTAAAAGCATGATAAATTTAACAAGTGAAGATTGCAGGAAACGATAATGGCTACCAGTATCACATAAAATAAATCAGGAACTTTTTAATCTGAAGATTTTTTCATACAAATAAATCTCATACAAATAAAACAGATTATTCTTATGTAAACTATGTAAATATTATATTAATTAGAATGAAAATACCATTGTAGATATACAGAACAGTTTGGTTTTATATCATCAACTAAGAATATTTTATATCATCATGACTAAGACTAAGAATGCGACAAAGCGGTATCAGCAAAACCACGTTCCAATTGTCGTGGTTCTGTTGGGATTTCGGTAGGTTGTTGTACAATCAATGTTAATGGTGTTTCAATAAGCTCTTGTGGATCAACTCGAGCTTCTTCTAAAGTATCCTGCAAATCATACTAAAATAATAAGTAAAAAAAAAGTCCTAAAGTCGAGACAAAAAAAAAAAAAAAAAAATGATTTGAGCTTCCAATGTTTTTCTTATTATAGAAAATTACAAAGCAAAATGAATGAAAAGAAGAGTAAGGATGTAATAAAAAAAAGTCTAATTATTTTTAATACTAAAGTTTACAGCACTCTATTTTAAAATATAATCATCAAACCGAATCGTTGAGAAGCCTTTCTTTCATATAAATAAGTTGATCGTTTGGTAGTTGACCCGTTTTTTGATATATTTTTATTTTCAACTGATGAATTGTATTCAGAGACGTCATCTACAAGTAAATATTATTGAGGACTTTAGCAATGACTAATTCGTTAATGACAGGATATTAAGAAATGAAATATCACCAAGAAATGAAAGGAAAGAGTAGCAAGGGAAATTCTGAATTGAGAAAACAAATTATGACAGAACAATTAGTTAAGCATACTATATTCTACAATACATTCTACAATCAAACTGTCATAAAATCAGTGAAGGTGTCAGCTTACTCTAACAGATTAACAGAAAAACAAAAATAAAATCTAATCTCTTTGGAAAGAAATAATAAAAATATTGTTAAAATTACTGTAAGTGTGATGATTTCGTGAAATAAGCAAAAAAGTGACGATTTCGTATATAAACATTAAATTACTTTGAAAACCATGGAACATTTCGCGACTGCACGCCTTGTTGTTGCATGCCGTTCCGGACGAATCAATGATGGAGTAGCATTAAAGGGTGCTATCAAATCACCGTTTGCTGTTTTTATTGGTTCATCATTCTTATCACTTTTCTGTGAAAAAGAAAAATTTCGATAAACAAAATAACAGTGATTTTTAGAATTATTGTGACATATAATTGATGCACATATGAAGGAATCAAATGTGAAGAGAATTAATATAATATTCAAGTGTTCTTAATCATAAAACCACAGGATCAGTTAGCAAATTGCAACAAAAATGTTACAAATTTTACAAATGGAGAAAAATAAGTAACTCACAAGTTTCACATAAATTTCAGCGCCATTTTCGTAAACAAAACGTTGATGTTCAACTTGAAGTTGTTGCTGCCGAAAACATTCATCACAGAACATTTCACATACTCCTAAATATTATACATATATATTAAATGGAAATATTTAAGTAAACCAAAAAATTTTGCTAGCCGATATAAGCAGAAAAGTAGAAAGTAATGAGTAATAGCAAAATAAAAAATCCTTTTGTTACAATTGAGTTATTACATAACGCATTACATCTTTTTACTTTTCTCCGGTTTCATTCTTCACTACTCTGCGACTAGTTCATTAAAACTCATTAATTTTCAAGTGAACTATCAATTACTGAGAACACAACAGAGATAGATCGTACATTATACACATATTTAGATTATCCAGCAAAATTATCAACAATAATAAAAAAAATTGTTTTAGCGATACAAAGTATACATATAATAATAGATACAGTCAATAATACTTTATTATATATTTGAAATTTATTTCATGTTTACTTTCAAAAAGCAAAAGAAATAACCTTTGTTATCAAGGCAAATGAGCATAACATCATCATCACTGATTTGCATAGCTGCTAGAATTTTTTGCCATTCTTCTAAAGTAAGTGGAACAGCCTGAAAGAACAATGTTTTAAATGATTTTCAAGATTTATAAAGCAGTTTTCTCATTCAGTGATGTGCATCATGTAGTATTTAACACGATAAAACACCATGTAACTGAATGACACTTAAGATCAGCTTTTTTCAATCGAATCATTTCATTCGATTTGTTCAGCCGTTAAAAAAAAATGGTATTAAATAAGAACTATATTCGTAAACAGAAATAATTAAAAAATTTTACTTTTTGCCTAAATTTATTCCGCCTTTTTTAAAAGTGGAAATTGGAACATACCAAACCCTCGGTATTATCAATTAAAACACATGGTTTTTTGTGTAGTGAACAAAGCATACAGTCTTGACAAATGGTTGGAATAGTTGGATTTCGTACACGGCTTCTAAATAACAAATAAGTAATTTTATGTAGATATTAAACAATATATTTAAATTACCTTAAATTTAAGCAAAATTCAAAATGAATTGTTCAATGTTTGTCCTCCCATTTACTGCTTTATTTTTCGTCTCACAAAAGAAACGCATTTTAAATTTCTGTTATAGGAATGGCCTATTAGAATACTTACTTGAATGCTGAAATCAGATTTTTCAAAAAATTTCGACAAATAACACGTTGGTAAATTTGAGGAGTCGGTGACTTCACCGTTATTGTCCTTCGAACAGCTGTACGAATCAATTCACCGATAGCCAAACGTATTTCCTTCATACGCCGTAAGGTTTCCTCCCAATCATCTTTTTTGTACTGAAAACACGGGCAAAGGAAATATCTTTTGTTGTTGACAAATTACAACAAAAAAAAAAAAAAAAAAACTAATGTTTGATAAATTACAAAAAGAGAAAAAACAATCAACAAAAAGGATTCAAAAAAAAAAAAAAAAAACTGATTTTCTATTAATCAAAAGAAGTTCTCCGAAAAATTCTAATTTTTAAGGATTTTTGTAATGATTTTATATATCATCTGTTACAGGCATAATTCTCGAAATGGCCTAAAATTCTTAACAGGCCCCCAACTTTGTTTTAAATCAAAGTAAATTAACTAAAGATAGCTTCTTTTTCGAGATTTAAGGATTAATCTAAACATATCATAATGAATGAATTAATGTTTTAATACAGTATCATATTAAATCCACAATTAAGACAATCACTTACCAAATAACCTGATTTACAAATGGAACAAGGAAATTCATCAACACTAACACACCACAAATGGTCCGGTTCAAAAATTCCAACAGTTAACTCCTTCCACTCATTTTCATCAACAACAATGCGTCGTTCATTTGTCATCCAGCATTCGTAATCCAGAAGTCCTAGAAAAGATACATAAATAAATAAATAAATGAATCCTTTCTAATGAATCCTTTCTAAGCTATTAAATGAGTTGTACATCTTTTCCGAAAATGTTT